GGGTCGACGTCCGTCCCCTCCGTGCGCCTGGCACGAATCCGATGTCGGTGAGGTCCGATGCCCCGACATCGGACGATGCGAGAAGAATCGGTGTCACGGACGTTCAGCCGATCCACGGACGTTCAGAAGATCTGTTTCCTCCACTGCCGGTCGGATGGAGTGGGGGGCGAGAGAGCTCGACGTGGGCCCCTTGGGCCGCTGTGGATTCCAGATCGCTCAGTGCCAGGGGTTGTAGAGGATGTCCACGAGAGCTCGCTGCTCCTGAAGCTCCTTGCTCACGATTCATGCTGCACTGTCCCTCTCTTCTCTCACGACCCTCCATCCAGAGGAATCTCGTTTCACCCATGTTCCTCCTCGATCTGTCCTCCTCGATCCGGCCACAGTCCACAGTCCACAGCCTTTGACGCTCTCCTCACATCATCACGAGGACCATTCTGAAACAGATGAAACTGAAGAACCAACAGATGTCTTTGGTTCAAGAAAATAGAGTGCCATCCAAGCCCATTGGTAAACGACAAATAGCACAACCTGCTGGTTGCTGGGTCTTTTTTCAAGCCAATTTGGGATCACTAATAGTGAAGTAATATCTGTTTTGGAAGACTCTATAGTGGATATTGGTGATTGAGGCACATTCTGGCGGAGTGCCCAGACAAAGGACCAGACTCGCACACAACCACATCACCCAGATACTCTATCTCTGGAGTTCATGTCTCCATTGGGCCCCCTTTCCACTTTGATCTGTCAATCTGTCCCCTGGGTAATGTTTGGATAGCGTACCCCTCTTTGCGTCTCATAACCTGCAAGAAATACGACGCCAAACGCACGACAAACTCTGGCCAGACGCTCTAAGGTTGCAGACCGTCGCTCTTAGGTTGCGGACCGTCGCTAGTAGGTTGGAGGCCATCTCTATTACTAGTAGGTTCCTTTTGCTAGGTTAGAGGCCATTCTCTAGGTTCCTTTTTGCTACGAACGGTATGAGGTTAGAGGCCACACCTCGTTCGTGTTTCAGGTGCAGATGATGAGCGAGAGGGAGGTGCCACCCCAGAGCGGTGACCCCCTGCTTCGCCTGGTGCAGCGTGAGGGCACCTTCTGGGTCCCGGTCTCGGTTTCTGGGGGGGTTGGATGGGCCCCCCCCCCCTCCTTGGGTTTTGGTAGACATGGGCCAGGGGGTCAACACACTCCTATCCTGAATGGTAAGGGGTATGGGTATGAGGGTGAGATGGGATGGGAGAAGAGCGAATGCGCGAGTTGTGTGTCCCGCGTGTCGCCGCCGCATTCTTTTTTCCGCCTGAGAAACGAACATGAAGCGCCGCAATCGGTTGAGGGATGCAGTTCCCCTTTTGCGGATTTGGGGCTGCCACGAGATGTGGGTGTCCGAAACCTCACAGAAGGGTCTTTTGCCATCTGAAACGAGGTATAGGCATGGCAGGGCCCAGGTGAGTTCGCTGGTCGTCCGACGGAAGCTCCGTAGACCCTGGAAGAGACCCACACGGAACCTGGAAATACCTGGAAGAAAGACTGGAAGATAAAGTTTTCCAACAAATCTAGGAGCCAAATGAATAGTGCAAGCGCTTTCCATGCTTAGTAGCGTACTGGTAGCTAGTAGCTTGCTAGTCCCTTACTTAATTAAGCGCCGACTGAATTAAGTAGGGAGGGGCGAGCGGGCTAAAAGAAAAACACATTGGGTTGTATTCATTGTATTCAGGAACATCGTGCTCCAGTTTGGTCCATTTTCATCTTCCATGTGGGTCTCTTCCAGAGTGTGTTTCTTCAGATTCCATTCGTCCCCTCGCCTTGTAGACTGGATCCCTTCTCTGATGAATGCATGCACCACCAACAAAGATCGATCACCCAAAAACACCGGTTTTCGCAGCGGTTTTGGCATGCTTTTGCTACTGCACAGCTAGGGATTGGGTTTCTCCTTCCAGTTGCACTCCTCCACGTCCCCTCTTCTTTCGATCGATCCATACCGACCTCAGGTCGACAAGGCCCAGCCGCCCCTTGGGCGCAGAGGGGATGGGGGTGGAAGGTGCAGATGGAAGGTCCAGAAATCCGAGGGATTGGGTGAGACCAGACACAACTACCAGGACCCGACGACCTGCCACCAATGGAGACCGACCGACCTGAGACAGGGCCTAGGGTCCTTCCCAGGCCTCAAGTAACAGCCTGGCTGTTGTAGGGTGCTGGTATATGGGACTGGCATGACATGCATTGGGGTGGTTGAACAGGCGCCATTCATGTAGGTGTGAAATCCGACGAGCATTCATATGGAAGCAGATGGCATGGGCTGCAAGAGCATGTCTGAGGGTCATGAATAACAAGGATTTGGGGGGCACCGTTCCCCTCCGGAAAAGGACATTGAAAGGCTTCGGCATAGCTACGGTGGTCTATAGACGTACACCGTAGCTATGCGTTGTGGGCTGAGGCTTGAACTTCATGAAGCACCAGGTTGTCACCAGCCCCGAAGCAGGGCAAACTTGTTTTCTGCGATTTTCCAGGATATTCGATGGCGCCTTTTGGATGCCCGATCCGCATCACGTGACCTGCAAACAAGTGAGCAGCTGGTCGCGTCTGTTGGACAGCAGACAGCTTGCCAAGAGGTAAACACATGCTGAACCCTGCCTCCCAGCTCTCTGAAAGGACGGCAGCATGCCTTGGGGAGAGTTCGGGATCACCAAAAGTCTTCCTTTCCAATTCCACTCCAACCTTTGTTCATGGCCGTGCTTGTTGACCTTGCTCGGGCGCTTGATGCAGAATAGACCGTCCAGAATACATCAGAATACCATACACCGACCTGATCCTTCCACCCAAGACCTTCCAGCCACTGCGCACTGCGCATCATTTTTCCATGGCTGAACCCCCTCGCTGAACCCCCTCATTCAGGTCGACTAGCTCCAAGAAGCTTTGGCTCGTAGTGCAGCTTGGATCAAACTGGACTGGACCAAACTGCTGTGGATGGGATGGCCAAATGGACGTGACCCAGAAAACCGATCCAACTCGAAGGGTTCTGCAGATTTCACCGAGTGAATCGTGGTTTCGAGATGTTCAAGATGTGTTGATGACAACGGTGATTTCACGACACTTCACACCTCACACGGTAAACCCAGGACCCAGGACCCAGTATACCCAGTCAGGACCCTTTGGTGCATCTTCCGGACTGACATATTTACATACACCGGGTTTGGTCTACATCAGGGGTCAGTGTCATGTCTGTCAAGTGGTGCGTCATGATACATCTTCTGACCCTTCCTCCTATACCTCCTTCGCAGCGTGAATCCCTTTTTGCGGTTGGTCGCCTCACCCCCCCCGGCCCGGACGCCCGGTCGCCGCGTCGTCGTCTCGCAGCGAGCCGCCGGACGTTGGGTCGAACGCCCCGAGGAGAGACTTAGTGCAGAGCAATCATCGACTTCAGGAAAGCGATGCCCGGACGCCCAGAACCGGCCACGGTCCAGACCGGTCCAGACCGGCCACGGTCTCGGTCTATACCGTCCAAGTTTTAGATGTTGGTCTACCGCCCGGAAATGAGCTGGACGAGTGAAAACACGACAGGTCCACCAACCATTTCAAACATCACCGGACCTCGGCCCGACCCATGAGACGACCGACACGACCGACACGACCGACGGACCCCGCCGAGAAAGCGCTGACCTCGCGACCTCGCGCGCGGAGGTCATCAAGCTGGGGCGCTTCAAGTTTCGTGTTCGGCAGCTGGTCGCTTCCGGTGGATGCCAACCGGAACTCAGGTCCGGCTTTCGGGGGACGGACGATGACGGACGCGGAATGGTTCCGCGTGCATGTTTTGAGGTTTTTTCGGGCAGTGGTTGTTTTTGAGGTTCGGGGCCAGTGATGGTGGGTGTGTCTTGGGAGAACTCGGAAGTATGTAGATTCTACGAATTTCATCCGAGTGAGATGATGGCGCCTTCGATGGGTTTTTTAGACGGTTCGTCCAAAGAAACGGCGGCTCATGGCGGAATGGCATGGGGGTGAGAGCTCCAAGTCTTTGCGGGCACATGGAAAGTGATTGGGGGGATTCCAGATTCATCCCCAGACACTCCATGTATGCCATCTGTGCCTTTGGGGTGCTTTCAGGGCATTTTTTCCATTATATTCCATACATGGAGATAACATGGAGTGTCTGGGCTCTGACATCCAGGCTGGTGCTTTGTTTTAGTGACACTGCTCAAGAACCACTCATTCGAGCTGTGCTGGAAGAGGACATATGTCTTCTGTTTTGGCTCGACGGGGTGCGTTTGTAGCCGTGCAGGTAGGTGCTGCCAGATCCAAGTCCTAGTCGTGACCTGGTTTAGACAGACAGTTGTGGTTCACAGGTGGATTTCCACCCAAGCTTGGAGCAACTGGGGGATCACCAGAGAAGAATCTCTAAGAGTTTGAATACCTGGAACATCCTGTCCAGGCGTCCTGGGTCGTAGTGTTCATTATGGCCCTGCCCCTATTCAGAGCGGATGTTGAAGAGGAAAGCAGCCTTAATTCAATTGCCCTCCAACTACAGAGTATATGTTTTTTCAAGGAACATCATTACTCGAATCCAGCGCTTCATTCTCAGCACTTTTGGTATGATTCAGAACTCCCGAACTCAAACAGACCGGGTTCCACCGCCCAATCGGATGAACAGACCGGTGGAAGAACCGACCCGACCGGCTGTTCAGATGGACCGCTGGACCGCTTGACCAGCCCTGCGCGCACGCATCGGCAGACCGACCCAACGCTATAAGACCGGGTTCAACGGACCCGGTCGTGGTTTCACCTGTAACTTGGGGAAGAGGTGAACAGTGAACGACCCTGTAACTTGGGGGTCGACCCTTCAAAAAGGCTTGAGATCTGGTTGTAGTGTATCTACAATGGTGTATTGGGAAAAGACGATCAACATCTTGCAATTCCGTTTGAATCGTCGCTTCACACCCTTCGTTCCAGACCCTTCGGGACCGCCGGCACCCCACGTCCATCTCCAGCTGCCTCGCGCTTAGCCCGCGCTCCGCGCGATGGCGTGCACCGGTCTTCCACGTGTGTGCCGCGGTGCGCTGGCGGCCGTGGCCCTCTGGAGCGGTCGGGATTCACGCGGGACCCACGCGGGACCCGGTGGTGGCGGCGATTGGCCTCCGAGTCGCCAGGGCCCACGGAACAAAGACCGAAGATGTCCGCGGCAGGCGGTTTTTCATGTAGACTGTGGATTCATACGCCCCTTTTTATATACATGGCCTTTACCTCTTCATTCATGTGGGGGTTGTATGAATCAAGAGTCTATATATTTCAGCCTCCGTGCGGGTTGGCATCCGGTTCAACACCCTTTGGCCCAGATGGCGCTTGGAAAAAACCATGCGGGGGGGGGGGTGGATGGAGCTCGGTGGATCTGAAGAGCTTTCGGTGGACGGTGCCAAACCGTCCCTTTGACCAGACATACTGAGGGGGTCAACAGAAGGTGAAGACCTGGGATTTGAGATCCTTTTTCTGCGAAAGACCTGTGGTTCCTCGTTTTTTTCTTCAGCCAAAAAGTCAGAGGCTACTTGGGACCTGCTGGGAAATGGATCAAAATGAATGAACACAAAGGCACAAACTTGGAAGATTGGACATGCGGCAAAGCCACTAGCAGATGTGTGTACACATCATATATTACTATATAATCATAGTCAGGCCGCGTGTTTCTTCCCGCTGGCTGCGCCCTTTCCAAAGACCCCGGCGGTTCACATCTTTTTTGGCACCAGGAGTCTGCCCTGTCGTCGAGTGACCCGGCTGGCATGCCGAGGCGACAGAGGGTGAAGGGACTCAAAAGGAATGGTTGGCCACTCGTTCATACCCGAGGGGCATGTAGACTGTTTCTTTGCCCTGCTTGCGATGATGCTTTGCAAGTCTTGCATCGCCCGTGGTTGGTTGGAAAAGCGGGTTACACGAATCCTCACCAACTATCTCATTGGAAGAGGAGATGTCAACCACAAGATGTGGTGTGGATCATAATGTGGATGAGACCAACATTTTGCTGGGTCACCCACCCTGTTCGGCCATTTAAGACATGTTCGAAGGTCGACCTGGATTCTTTTTTGGTGCGGGCCGTACAGTATACGCATTGGTGGTCTTTCACCTCAACACGGTGGTAAACAGCGGTGGTTTTTCGGTGTTTCAGCTCGTTGCGGGAACGAAGAAACCCACGGGCTCACTGGAACGGGCCCGGCAGCGAGCGGAAACAGTCACTGGAACGAATCGTTTGAGCCACGTGGGTCCACGTTTTGAACCGCCTAGACCTGCCTTTGCTTATATATACTTATTTATACCAGTCACATGTCGGGGTGGTGTTTAGTCCCATCCAGTGAGTGGATAGTAGGCACAGGACAAAAAAACCATGGATAGCACCCCGTCTTGTGACTGCTGGTACTTAATACCTATGGGTGACTCCCCTTCCTGGGAGATTTTTCTACAATTCTTTCCCGGTTCACAAGCAAAGAGATGGGCCGGCCTCAGTTCCCTCGATTTCACCGTTGAACTCCGGTGATGTTCACCGGGTCCAATTTCGCTTCCGACCGGCCCAACGGAAGGCAGCAGGGAGGTCGCTGGGTCGGACGTGGGGGCAGGTTTGTAGGTGCGCAATGGAAGACACCCTATAACAATCCCTATGGATCCAAGTACCGAACCTCAGAAGGTACGACTGTGACTGGACCCTCCTGGCACCTACATAGCGGTGTCGAACACATCACCGTACCTGAGGAGAAAGTACGACTGGATCCCTAGGGAATCATGGAAGTGAACAACGACATCCACGACATCTGTTTGGTCTTCACATCCTCCGACCCGACGATAAATCCCGTTGAGTGTCCATTCTTGGAGTAAGGGAGTCGTTGCTTCCATCACGGAGTCGTTGGAACGCTACGGCTCGGGCGTACGAGCCAAACTCCTGGTGTTGCTCAAGCCTGACTGCTCGGCCCCACGTGAGCCTCAGCGACACAGCGTGTCCGAAAGACCCCAGAAGTCCAGTTCGACTTCCAGTTCCACTGGCAGCATGCAATGAGACAAACGTTTCTTTTTTGCCTTTTTTTCGACAGACCCCTCCACCAATCTGGGCTGCTTCATGGCACCGGGACACTGCATGTCACAATTCACATCCGAGCACTCTTTAGACAAATTGAGAAGTGGTGTGCAAGTAAAGTTACAGGTACAGGTACGTCTGAAGCAATGCACAAGTCGATTTGAAGTCTTAAAAGTCTTCAAACCAACCTAAGGTGGCCTGGTCAGCACCAGTGGTGCACTTCGGCTCGCGCCTGGTGGGCCCAAAGCAGGCCATCGTGGGCCCAACGCGTTGGTGTCGAAGCGAAGCGAAGAGTGAAACCGGACGAAGAGCAGGGCGATCGGGATCGCATGGTCCGACGGGGATCTCACGGTTCTCCCAGTCAGGTAAGCCATGGAGCATCGAATCCGAGTAGATCGACTGAGCCTCACGGCTCGCTCCGGACCCACGTGCGAAGCGAAAGACCCGAGCACGTGGGCGGAGGCGAGATGAAGCAGGAAACATGGACTCATCCAAAGCACCACGAATCGTCAGCACCAGGTTTGTAAGTTGTAAGAAGCCGGTTTCTAATATGGTATTCGATTGACACGCCCTGACAACAAGAAGATCTGGACCTCAAAATCACAGACATGAAAGAAGACATCCGAAAGCTTTCATAATAGGGCAACATAAGTATATCTCTATGATCATTGGATAAAATAAACCAGGGCCCCCTAAGGGGTGGTGAATGGACATCCCTTAACCTCTAAGAAGCTATCATTAACCACCCCTTAGGGGGCCCTGGAATAGATGATCGGAGCTTAACATCGGTGTTTATGTTTTTTGGCGCTTCGCTTGTCCTTTCGACTCAGCGCAACTCAGCGCAGCTTGTGAACTGGTTCCAGTAGGAAGGGTGGATAGATAGTTAGACTCTTGATTAATCTAAGAGAAAGACATGCACACAACAGAATTTGTATGTATATATACATATTAGATCATATTAATAAACACACACACACACACCCATATGAAGAGGTTGTCCAATCCATGTTTAGGGGTCTTTCATTAATCAAGAGTCTAGATTCGTGAGGTAGATAGAGTATTGCCTGCCAGGTACTGGCATCTATGATGTCGTTTCCAGCAATTCCTTTCTAGTGAGTCTATCCTTTCCATCAGTTGTTTCTGCAACAATGCCCTTTATTTCAGTTTCTTGTGGGGTACTCTTGATTTGGAAGTCGCTACAGGAACTTCTTGCTGATCGACACACTAGCCACCTCCCCTTCATCCAGAGCCGCGCTCCATCCCATGCCACCCCTCAACTTGCCCCACCTCACACCCCACCGTTGATTCATCTCTTTGCCCTCTTCGCCACCCAAAACTACACCCCAATACCGGGCCATTCCCTCTATCTTTCTCGGTTCACGCAAGGTCCCGGAGGGGCTGAGATATTGCACCGACTTCATCACCACCGAAGAGGAGGCCGAAGTCCTACGCATCGTCGACGGACCAGGCTCGACTGGGTCGACTGCGGGCGGAGACGATGCCGACGCCGCCGGAACGAGCGAGCGAAGAACGAAGAGCTCTGGGGGAGCGAAGGTTTCAGTGGTGAAACCACACGGCGGGAGGTGTGTTTGGAAGAAGACGAACTGCTCAGGCTGCCCCAAAAGGGGTTTCCATGAATTTCAGGTGAAAAAGGTCGTTCTTTTGATCTGTCTATCGATGTGCCAGCACTTAAGTCTCATCCAAAAGAGGCTGGGAACGGCTCAGGGCTTAGATTTGCCCCCTTTTTGGGGGGGCATGCGATCAGACCGCATGTCATTCTAAGGGGGCATTGGGCCCTCATTGGGCACATCCTATGGTCCTACACTGCCGAGACCGTCGATTTTGTCATATTTTGTCAGCCGGCGGGTCAGAGCAGAAACCGCTTGTCCGGGTGGTCCTACCTCCCCATAGTGAAGTCATGGAAAGTCTAGAGCCCAAGTATTCTGGCTTCCAGTTTTTGCTGTCCAACATTTTGACCCTTTTGATCCTATACCTGCCACCTGCCACCTGAATGACCTATTTTCTGACCACCAAGCACTCCAAACTATTCGCGATCCCACTTCCTATCAAAAAAAAATGGAGGGTCCCTTCTTCTTCGGTCTCGCGGTCTAGCTCCAGCTCCCACCCCGCAGCGCCGAACCGCCGAGGCGCCGCGTGGATGCGGAAGATACGCCGAGCGCAGCAGTTCTTCGGCGTGTGCCTTGGGGCGGCCACGGCGCGGGGTTTGCGGCGCCGGCGCAAACCGGAAGACGCCACGGTACGGGGAAAGGGGGGGGGCGGGGTTTGGCGCAAACCGGCGACTTGGGTTGTGGATGTTTGTTGATGTTTTTGGGGCGTGTAGCCTGTTTTTGGCAGGGCTGATGATCATGAGGGCATTTGTAGGTTTCTGGCTAGTCCAATGGCTGAAGAAGCGCAAGGAAGTGCAAGTAAAGGTTGAGCTTTTTGATGTTTCAAAGACTTTAGTGGATTCCAACCCTGTGGATTTCTGTTGAGCTTTTTGTAGCTTTCTGAACCTGTGGATTCCAACCCTCGCAGTGGCTTCTTCTTCGGCTGAGGGTCTACTATCAGACCACTCAAGAGGTGCCTGAGCTGCAGCCGACCAGTTCCAAAGGCAGTCAAGGACCGTACTCGACGTACTCGACACCGGCTGACCATACTCCGACGGCATTGGGCTTCGGACCATTCGAAGACATCGGAACCAAAAGGTTCAACCCCATCCCCAGACACGACCAGTCTGGGACTGCCACGTTTTCGGACTGCCGCCGAAAGACCCTGAACCCCCCTGGCACCACCCCACCTGGCCGTTTCTCGGTAGTCCGCCAGTCCAGTGAGTCTGGATCCCACCTGACTCCTTGGACAGTGACCTTCGAACCGAACGGGGGACTCAGGAACCCGAAGCAAAGGCCGTTTGTATCGAAGAGCGCTGGAGCGCTTGGACTCGAGCGCTGGTGAGGGGATCCTGGAACGAGAAGACATGAAGCGGCAGCAATGGTCATTCCCTGAGACTGTTGACGAAAGCGTAGACCATCCTGAGGATGCAGGAGGCGGTTTGGTTGCTGAGAACATATCTTTCAGATTCTTTCAGTACTCGAGTTGCAGCCATCAGGCTTTCCCCTATAGGTCTTTGACCCATTGGGGGGGTTCAGTCTAGGATATCGCAAGTCGTCCGAACTGGATCCCCCCCTTCGGAGGACCATACAGCACCTGACCCAGTCCCGTCGACCAGTCGTCGACTGCTCAGGACGTCCTCTGACGGATTTGCCGGAATGGCTCCTGGCGCGGGTGAGGCGGGGCACGCGCGCGGCGACGGCGGCAGAAGGGCGGCAGTGGCAAAACCGAGTGGTGTTTGGCTGTTTTTTGGGCGGACGGCAGGCACCCACGTGTGGGAGGTTCCTGAAGTGACGTCTACGGGAGTTGCCAAGCGGAAGAAAGGGAGCACTTGCAGAGGGTCTGTGCCGCGAATCACTTGATTCACCAGGAGCTGCTGGACTTGTTGAAGTGAGATGCAAAGATTGATAGACTCGGGCCTTTACAAACCGGAGGGTCCAGGGGAGTGACCTGATTTGATGTTCCTGGCGCAGTCAAGACGTCGATCCAAGCTCTGAACTGAACCATTCTCGGTGGTCGACATGGACACCCCTTTATGACCTTTTTTCGGGGCTATGAATGGACACCCGGGTCCCCGCCGTGGTGCTGGTTGATAGTATTTACCTGATTTGTGGCGAGTCTTTACCCCTTTTCAACTGTCCACTGGGATGTTTGGCTGAACCGCTTCCGCTGACTGTCGGGGGAATCGAGAAGGTCACTCTGATGAACACATGGTTATGGAGACTTGGCCCCTGACCGTGAAATGAACCAAGTAGGGGCCAAGTCAGGGGCCATTACCACCCCCCTACAATTCCAAAGAGGTAGGTGGTGAACTGTTAGATGGACCGACTTTGGCGGAGTCACGAGACCCGGACGCCACACTCGACGGCTTCATGGATGAAGCGCTCCAGAGACGTCCCTGGGTCCGGCGGAGCGAAGAGATGAAGATGTGAAGCGCAATGAAGAACACCAGATGTGCAAGTTAGAGCTAAAGATGTACAAGATGACTACACGATGAAGAGAACATGAAGACAACATGAAGGCAACATGAAGAATTGATGAATACAAGATGAGTACAGGATGAAGACAAGATGAAGACAACATGAAGACAGGATGAAGACAAGATGCAGACAAAATGAAGTCAAGATGACAAAATGAAGCATGAAGACCAGATGAAGACAAAATGAAGACAAGATCACGATGGAGACAAGATCAAGATGAAGACAAAAGGAACAACATGAGGACCAGACGAAGACAATATTAAGACAAGATGAAGACAACATGAAGACAAGATAGAGGAGGACATATAGACAGCATGAAGAGAAGATGAAGACACAATGAATACAACATGAAGATAAGATGAAGGCAAGATGAAGACACGACGAACACAAGATGAAGTCAAGATGAAGACATAATGCAGACAACATGAAGAGAAGATGAAGACAAGATGAACAAGATGACCATTTTTTGCTGGCTGCACATATTTTTTTGAAAAGGGATCCTACACTTCTCGTGCCAATCCAGCCGGCCTCTCCTGTTGGCAGGTCCACCGGTCTTTTTGATGCAGGCAACGTCGGGATTCGACGATGTCGGGGGTGCGGCAAGCGGGTCTGCGAGTCCGTTGGCAAATAGATAAGGTTAGGTAAAGACAGGTTTGATTGGTAGGCCGACTGGTTGATGCGGCTTTTTCACCATCAAGTCTTGCGACCTGTCATCGATTGGATCTCATTGGCCCACCTCTTAGATACCTTGAGGGCGGAGCAGATAGCTTTTTGCAGCCAGGGTGGTGCGGACAACGCAAAACCAGAAACTTCGTAGAGTCTGGCATATGATCTACTGGCATGAACCACCTTTCACACACCATGCACTGCAAGCAAGACTTCAATTTTCACTCATCTTCTTCACAGTCGTCTACCTCTACAAATACTGATACTCCATTATGCATAAATCAATGCATTGATACATGGGATCATTTCATGTATGTCCGGCATGACCTTTGCTGCCTCTCCGGAGCCCCCCAAAGCGAGCCAGGCCCCGGCATTAATCAAGTCCTGGCCAACGAGTATTTGGAAGATAGCGGCATTGGCAGCCACGTCGAGGACTGGTCACAGCTGAGGGTCCCACGTCCTGCCGAGCTTTCGGGGTGGGAAGGTCAGAGTTCCAAGAATTCCTGGGCTGAAAAAAGAGGAGATGGGGAGAATGTCGAAAGCTCCAAGGGTGAATCATGGAAAAACCTGGATCAAGACGTGACGAAGACGCGAAAAGCGCTAGCTAGTGGGTGGGTTAATTGTACGAACGATGTTGTAGGACAGATTCTACCTACCTCACCACTGAAGCGGTTGAGGCCATTTCCGCCACCTCTACGGTGCCACTGATGGCGGAGGTGCCCCCTTCACACCTCAAGGGCCGTTCCGGCCAGGACCCGGCCGCCGGGCCAACCGTGGTGACGCTTTCGCTGCTGCAGCCGGTGGAGCTCACCCTGCAACGCGCCGAAGATGGGAAGCCACGGCCTCGGGACCAGCGAGATCCCGAGGCCAAGGGGACCGCTCATCGGGAGCAGGGGGGCCGATGAGCCGGGGCGTGGGGGTGTCGTGGGGGTGTCGGCGAGCTGGATCTTCTGGTTGAATTCCCAAAGAATTTGTGCCGCTGCTGGAGAGGTCCAAGTTTCACGAGTTGTGCTCCAGGGTGACGGTTCAAACATGTTCAACACCTTGAACAGTTTGTCGCGAGGCGCAGTGGGTAAAGACTTCGCCTGGGAGTTTAGGAGGCGGAAGACTCTTCAATTTCTTTGGTTGGCCACCCTTTGCGTGGAGACCCTCCAATCTTTTCGAGCCTTAGTTGAACTTCCTCCTTTTGCCAGAGGTTGCATATACATCAGCAACTTGAAGAGATTTCTGGGCCCAAAGACATGGTATTGATTGCCCACCCCCCGAAAATGGGTGTATCACTTGCACTAATACCTTATTTTTTTACTTTTTTCTCCTGGACCCGATTTGAGATGCCAGGTTTCCCAATGCCCTGGGTGTGTTTCTTCAACTGCGCTGCCCCTTCGCAACGCGGTCTTTTGCTTGCACCACAAAGGCAGACCACCAACCTTGAATTCTTTTCTTGCAGCATCAGCTCCCTCGCACCCCACGCGTGGCGCCGGCTCTTCGTTCGCTCGTCGTCAGGATTTCATCAAGGTTCTGCTGGAACCTTTGAGTCTGCTGGTTCTCGAGGGCCCCAGCCGCTACAACTTCACGCATGCCATTCGCCAATCGCCCCTCGAGCCAGCGCTTCCTTCCGGGGACTCCGGTCGCGGGCGCGTTGGGCGTCCCGCACCCGCGGTAGACGGCGGTAGCGAGACCGCTCGTGGGGAGGGGGAGGGAGGGTCGGTTTCGCTCCGTGGGGGGCGGAGGGTGGCGGGTGGGTGAGATGTCTTCGGGTCCCAAGCGCTACATCGGAGGAGTGAATGGCGATCTTGATGATTCTTCGAGTGGTGGTGAGAAACCACTCACCAGGGAACTGGTGGCTTTGTGTTCCGGTTAAGCCTTGCAGATCAGTGGGGAACATGTTGTGAACTTCCCGACGGCCTCGCGCTTTCCGTGAGCTCTAAGGAAACAGTCTTGAAAAGACGCCTTCGTCGGACAAGTGGATCACTTGTCGGACACCAAGAATTGCCTAGAACCTGTCAGGACCTCTATTTTGGACCACCAACCGCCCAAAATATGGTCCTTTCCTATATCAAAACAGAGGTCATGTTTGGGTGTGCGACAACCATTTGATCATGACATTCAGGTGGCTCCGCTTGCGGATGCGACATGGATCCTGACCGACATTCGTCCGGGTCGAATTAGGTGTCAGACTTTCTCGAACGCATAAAAACGCATTCTTTGTTGGAACAACATGTGTAACATTTCATGGGGTCCTTGGCAACCACCACTGGGTGTCTACCCTGCCCTGTTAGAAAAAGAACAGTGCATTCGAGTGCCTCCAGTTTGGGCTTTAGATCTTCCATCATTATTTTTTTGCAAGGACCTACCAGCTCTGGTTCTTGCCGGATCGAATACTTCTCGTTTGGCCCAGGAAGCGAGTGCCTTTGCGCGATGGCGGAGTGCTGCGGCGGGAGAAGAGCTTCCGTCGGGTGTCCTTGACCTTCCGAGGCGACCGGAATCCGTTATGTTCTCCGAATCATGACCTACTGCCCTGTGGCACGGGCTGTGGCATGGACTGCCCGCAAGCCGCGCTATGTTCTCCCAAATTCCTGGAGAAAGCACATCCAAGGGATGGGTGAAGAGTACGGGATCGGAAGATTTGAGTTGAACATGGACCGGTTGTGGGAGAGAAGCAACGCCAAAGACGGTCTCTTAAGACCCTTGCAAGGTGCCAGAGAGTTGTAGACCATGAAGGCCAGACAGGTGATGCTCGGATTCGTGAGGATTTCAGGGCTTCGAATTGGACTCCCCTTGCTGTTGAGGTCCAAGTCTTAGACTTTGTGTTATGAGCCTCCAAGCTTGGGTGGCTTGCCCGACCTCAGAGCGTCATAGGTTTGTTTGTGGGTGTTGTTTTGTTTTGTTTTGTTTTGGTTGGTTGGTTGGTTTGTGTGTTTGTTTGCTTGCTTGCTTGCTTGCTTGGTTGGTTGGTTAGTTGGTTGGTTGGTTGGTTGGTTTGTTTGTTTGTTTGTTTAAGTTTGTTTGTTTGTTTGTTGCTGATGTCACAGGGAGAACATGACAACAAATTGTAGGCCTTTTGCAAGTCCAAGGCAACTCCTTGTTTCCCATGGAAGCGTGCAACCATGTCCACCATGTCCATTGCGAGCACGCATCTTTGGATTCATTTCTAAAGGAGTCGAAACTGTGTGGTTTTGTCCTGTTTTGGCAAGCCCTCCTGCTGGGCCACTGGACTTTTCAGAGCCTTTCTGCGCTTTTTCTGTGCTTGGTCAGGCATCCTGGAACGCCAACGCAGCGCCATTCGTAGCGACCTCCCCGAGGGTTACAGGACCTATTCCGTGCCGCAGCCGGAGCTCGCGCAACAAAAAAAAGAAGAGCGGAGGGACTTTGATCTGCCCAACGGCCGTGGGTGGAGAGCAACACCCGGATATTTGGACATTGACACGGGTGTGTCTCCAAAAGAATGCTTAAGCATTCCCAGGAAAAGTGGATCACCTGCAAGTCACCCCTTTTTGGGGGATTGGGGACGCCCCACTAAACACTGAACCTGCCGATACAGCAGCCACCTCAGCCAGCAAATGTTCTGAAGTTGAGTTGCAGATCCTGAGCTGAAGTAGATCTATAATATAACTTAACCTTTCTTTTCCAGGGAAACGGCGCGGGGGTCAGAATTGAGGTCCTCATTTGTGGGACCTTCTGTAACAAGGATCAGCTTCCCGACAGACGGTGGCCGAGTCGGAACGGGTTTTTCACAGGTCATTTTCCTTGGAAGAACACCGTTCAGTACCCTTTGATACTTACTACCCTTTCGGTTTTCGACTTCATGTTGGATTTCTGCCCAGGTGCCCGGGTCAGCCCGTCCGCCCTTCCTCAACATCCTCGGCGCCTCGATGGTTTTTTGGGCCGAAAGAGGGGAAACAAAATGCTAATTAGGTGATTCGGAAGAGGTTAAACCTGCTTCTGAATCTAACCCTTTTTTGAAGAACATCCAAGGTGGTTTCTTACAAACCAAATCATGAAACAACACCCAAAGCAAATCAATGCCAGGTTAGATGATTCGGGAGTCATCTGCTGCGCAGTCCGGGTGCCTGAGTCGAGAGGTGAGCACCAGGCTGTGGGTCCTGAGGGGTGAGCACGAGAAGCACCGCACCAGGCTTTGCCAGCGACATGAAGTCGGAAGTTGAGGATATGGGCTTCGTCCATCCGTAAAACAACATGGGAAGTGTCAAGTGGTTGGGAGACTCCCAAATGGCAAGTCGTTCTTGAACACTTATTACTGTTTTGGATTTTGCGGATCGTTGGAACGATGGATCATGAATTGTTTTGTTTCTTGGTAAAGAAACAACCACAAGCAGATATAAGCAGGCCCAGATAGAGATGCAAGGAACATCACAGCATTCTGGAAGCATTTGGCATGTACCACAGCATTCTGGGTCCAAATGGTCGGCTCGCCGAACGTCCGACGGTCGGACGTTTGTTCCCGATCGATTTCCCGTTTGGATTCGATCCGCCACCTGTTTGGTTCGTTGTTCAGAACCTTTGGACTCTCGATCGGATGGCCGCTCGGCCGCCCAGGTAGAGCCCAGTTCCACCGGAGAGTCGGGGAAGCTCAGCCTTTGCACCGGGCGGCGTGGCCGAATCCGATCGGTGGTGTGGAGCTGAACTTCATACGACAATGAATATGAATATGCAGTTCACCCTTCATCCCAGACACGACTAATGGGACCCAGACACCCTTCATATTCACCCTTCATTCGGCACCTACAGATGGAGGGTGAACTTCATACGACCATGAATATGAATCCCAGACACGACCTGTCTGGGACTGGTCTATTTACCCGAGAAACGGGCGTTCGGGCTGGTTGACTGGGGGTTTGTCTGGGGCGGTCGTCCAGCAGTCCCGGACAGGTCGTGTGTCTGGGAATATGATGCTTTTGGACCAGCAGTCACATGTCGGGGTGCGATCCATGGAGGTAGTCGGGGTGCCCATTATCCACTCACTTAGGGACTAAATACCACCCCTGCGACATGTTGAGACGTTGAAAGCCAGGACCAGGCCCAGGATTCGCTGCTCTCCTCAGGTCCCGGGGACGTCGGGCACCGCCTTTGCCCGTGTTTTCGTGGTTTCGGGTTGTGACCGGCTCGGGTCGGGTTCCTGGAGGTGTGGGGCGCTGTGGGGCCTCGGTGTAAGTATTTCTGGCGCCAGGGGATGATTCCAAGGTCACTCAGGTTCCAGATGTTCTAGGTCCTATAGGAATATCAACATATGGACACTCCGACGGCCAGAGAAGGACACCTGCCGTGCTTCATGGCTATGGGTTATGGGTCCTGGCAGCTGCGCGGACTCCAGTTACACCCTGAATGTGTTCACGATGTCATGCGCTGATGATGAGCGATGTCAAGCTAATTGCAATCGTTTTGCTGATGACAATTCCCCACACCCATATATCATATGATAGATAGAGCACATCATGATTATGTTGCTCTTCATTCCTTGCTCAACTCACTCTCACTCACTGTCAAGAGGCCAGGACTAGCAAGGTAGGATGGTTCTAGGGGTCGCCTGTTTCCCTGTAGCAGTGGTTATGCTTCATCCTTGGGTCCATTCGCTCCTGCCATGGGTCCTTCAGCCCGGCGGGTTGGTCCTTCGACCTCGGGTGTGGCTGAGGGGGCCGGAAGTGAACAAGCTCCTTTGCCGAATCTGTCTCTTGGAAGGTCCCGGAGAGGACGGGCCTTCCGTTGATGGTGACAGGGATTGGACGCTTGAAGCGGAGTGGGAGGTGGCTTCAGAGGGTTTCAGAGCCTTTACTTGGCATGGGAACCACACAGGCGCCCTGATACTTTTTTCGTTGGTGAGTTTTTCGACATGTTGAAACCACGAATCCAAAATGAGAATCGACTCAACGAGATCGAAGCTTGCGGATGATTTGGCATGATACTATAGATGGGGGCGTAGTGGCCCATTACCAGTAACACGACGAACTGGTGGGGGTCTCATTTTGGGGAACGTGAATACCGGCGACGAACTGGGAGGTGTTTTATGGTGTTTTTCACTTTTTCGCTTCAGTACACTCCGGAAGATTAACATGGACCCTGAGAATGGCACCCTCAAAGACGGTTTTCTCCACAAACCAAGGGTTTTCAGGGTCTCTGGTACAGTAGGGTACTTTTTTCGTGACCCGGAGAAGGGGTGTGCTCCTTCATGGGACCTCTTCCTACCTCTTCCGGCAGCGTTGCGGTGGAGGACGATCCCTTGATCGCGCCATGCCAATGCAAAGGTTCGATCGAGTGCCCCCCCGACTCGGCGACTCCTTCTTCGTCTTCAGTCGTTCGTGATCGGATCGGCTTCTTTCGTCGGAGACCCTGACGGAAGCCGACATACATGGTGGTACTTGGCATGATCCCAGACACTCCGTGGGACTGGAAGATATGCCGCCCCAGCCAGACCCTTTTGAAGCACCCCAACTGATCGGCAGTCCTATGCCAGTCCCATGGAGTGTCTGGGTATGGTGTCTACATGTCCCTGCCATGCCACATAACCCTCGCAGATCAAAGACATCACATGAAGGCGACGTGGTGACCCTCGCAGTTCACCCCCGATCGTCGGACGGCAAAGAGACACTTTTTTTCAATCCGAAGGCTACCCCGACAGGGTTTGCTTTTCACTCCGCTTCCGAATCAATGGGAAGACAGTTCTGATCATGGTGCCACTATGAATAGCCTGGGACTTGAAGCATATAAACATTAATACCCTGGTCTTCCTTTACTTCGGTGGTGCCACATCTAGTCGAACGGACTTCTAGGGAGGTGGACAAGCATACCGTGTTGCTTGATCATGCATGATTACAGCAATTCTCCACTATATACATGAACTTATGAGCCAAGGAGGACTGCAACTCAGCTGCAGTTCGCACTCAGCTCGAGCCAGAGGCACCCCCCCCACTGGGGTTCTCAGAAACCTCAGTGTGACTGGCCGAGATGGGAGAAGTTGATCATGCGAAGCATTCTTCAGCCCTTCGCAGAAAGCCTGTAGCCGAAGCACAATCCTGTAAGGCTGGTTTTGAAGGTAATTCTTTGTTGGCACGACTGAACAAAGGATTTCCCATTTATTGTGATGTGGACAAGGTGTGCGGGAAGAGCAATCATAACTGGGATTCCTCAGCTCCAAGTGACTCGCCATAAGGACGACCACGTCGCGCATCCTCCCCAACAGATGTGGGTGTGTACAAGAT